GGCATCACATCATGCATCTGCTACCGGAAATTGATTGTGGGCCCAAGGCATGGGCAGTGCTCAAGGACCTGCACGCTCCGACATCGGTTGCCGCTTCTCTCATGCTGGATCGGGAGCTGTCCATGCTGCGGTTGAGCGAGAATGAAGCTGTGCAGCCCGTACTGGACAAGATGAGGGAACTCTACGCGAAATTGGCGATTGCAGGCATCACGTACCCAGAGCAGACAAAGTGTCTCAAGATGCTCAGCCTGCTGCCGGAGTCTTGGCTGCAATTTATAAGCGGACTCAGCTTGCCACAAAACCAAAGTCAATGGACATTGGAGTGGATTCGCACCAAGATTCTGGAAGAAGATTTTCGTCGCTATACACTGCGCGGAGGTGATGACAGCACCAGCGGCTATGCCATGCAAGGGACATGGAGGGATCGAGGGCGTGGCAATCGCGGTCGCTCTTACCACAGCCAAGGTGGTCGCGGGACTTGGAACCAGCGGGGGCGTGGTGGCGCTGGTGCAAGAGGAAGAGGTGGTCACTCCAACAATGACAACAGTGAACCACGCTTGAGGGGAGAGTGCTGGTATTGCAAGGAAGAAGGGCATCCATGGTTTCGCTGCCCTACCAAGCCCGACTGGTGGACCCCTTGGAACCAATCGGAGAAGGGGAATGGAGGAAAACAACCACATGGAGGTGCCAACATGGTAGCTGATCCTGCTGAAGAAACCTCCAAGGATGACAGAGGAATGCGAAATGAGGAGAGGAATGCTGGACAGTTCTACCATGTGTGTGACAAAGATGACAGTGGCACAGCTGTTGCAAGGGCTGGAGAGGAATTGCACCCGCTTGACATGTGGGTCATGGACTCTGGTGCTGCATGGACAATGACACCACGCAAGGACTTGCTGGATGCTGTGCGAGCGCCTCCAATCTCTGAAGTGCGCTCAGCATCCGGACATGCAGTGAAGGTCGCTGGAGTTGGTCGAGCTGCATTCAGAGCACCTGATGGTGGACTGGTTGTGCTGAAGGATGTGTTACTCGTACCGGGGCTGAAGGCCAACCTGATATCGCTGCGCAAGCTAGGCCAGGCCGGAGTCAGCACCACCACCAATGGATCCAAAACATTCAAGGGGCTGCGAGGAGATCGTGTGTTATGGGATTTACACGAAAGCAGAGATGTCTTCAGATCCATGTGGCAGATCCCTGCACTGATATGGGAATCAACAAAGAAGGAGTTGGGAGAAGTAAAGGCGGGTTCTGGAGTCCAGGGGGAGTGTAATGCAGTTAGTGCTGCAGGAGTGACGGTTTCTGCAAGGTCGGGGGAGACTGATTGGGAAACCGCACACAGGCGTCTAGGGCATGTGGCTATGCCATTGCTGCAGCAACTGCATAAGGAAGAAGCAGTAAAGGGGCTCAAGCTTTCTGGGCAACCAAATGCTACCAAGTGCGAGACGTGTCTGCTGAGCAAGTTCACACGGTTCCCCTTTCACGGCGTAGCTGGGAAAAGCAAGGCAGCACTGGAACTGGTGCACATGGACCTCGTAGGACCTTTTCCAGTCCGAGGAAGTAAGGGGGAAAGGTACTTCCTGACAATAGTTGATGACTGGAGTCGGCTGATGTGGGCATACCCGTTGAAGCAGAAGGATCATGCTGCCTCAACAATACGAGATGATTGGCTGCCGTTCGTCGAGCGACAATCTGGGCACCCATGCAAGAGCATCAGAACCGACCGAGGTGGAGAGTTTCTAGGAGGAGATCTGACTGCGTGGCTCAAGAAACAAGGCATTGAGCATCAGCTAACGACGTCCTATACCCCTCAGTCAAATGGCGTTGCTGAGAGGGCTAATAGGACCATCCTGGAAACTGCGCGAGCGCTGCTGATCGAATCAGGGCTGGGGAACTCCATGTGGCCTCATGCGGTGAGGCATGCTACAGTGGCAAGGAACCGCGTACTCACAAAGGTGGCTGATGATATGTGGGTGCCGCTGGAGAGGTGGCTTGGAAAGAAGCCTCCAGTGGACATGCTTCGAGTGTTCGGATGCATGGCAGTGGCGCATGTCCCTAAACCGTACAGGACAAAGCTTGGAGCATCTGCACTTTGGTGTGTGCACCTTGGGCTTGCGGCAGAGAGCAAGGGGTGGCTACTCTGGGAGCCCTCAAAGAATGTGCTGTTTGATAGTCGGGATGTCAAATTTGTGGAGAACATCATGTATGGCAAGTGGGAGAAGCAGCCGGAGGCAAGGGTCACCCAGCAGCTGGAAGAGATCACTATGCACTTCGATCTGTCCGAACCTGAGGACAGCGAAGTCACTGCGCCAACGGCAAGCGGTACTGATGAAGGAAGCAATGAGGATATTGCAGCTGATGCTGAAGTCAAGGATCCGGAGCAGCAGCAGCAAGAGGCTTCCAAAACACCAAGTCTGCCAAAGCGAAGGAAACAGATTGGTGGGGGGACAAAGGATTGGGTGAAGGTGAAAGAATGGGTAAATCCAACCATCTACCCTGCACGTACCAGAATGGCAATGAGAAAGCTGTTGAGCTCCACAAGTGGAGGAGCCACAACTGAGCAGCAGGAACAGGCTCAAGGCGAAGATGCAGTGCTGTTCTTGGGTGATGACCAAGAGTCAGATGACAAGGAGCCTGCATACTGCTTTTACGCACCAATACAACCTCCGAGCATGGATCATGCGCTAGCCGGGCCTCAACGGGGGAAGTGGCTCGTTTCAAGAGATGCAGAGTACAACAGCAAGATGGAGAATCACACATGGGACCTGGTGTACTTGCCAAATGGGAAGAAGGCAATACAGTGCAAGTGGCTGGCAAAAATCAAGACGGATGAGAAAGGAGAGCCATCAGTTTACAAGAGCAGGCTGGTGGCAAAGGGGTTTCAGCAGAAAGAGAAGGAAGATTACAAAGAAGTGTTTGCCCCAACTGCTAAGTCTCCAACGCTACGTGTGCTGCTGGCGGTAGCTGCTGTGCGCAAATGGAAGGTGAAGCAGATGGACATCGTAACCGCTTTTCTGTACGGCATTGTGGAAGAGGAGGTGTACATGGTTCAACCACCTGGCTATGAGGATGGAACCGGTCGTGTCTGCAAACTTAACAAGGCCATCTATGGCTTGAAGCAGGCCCCGAGATGCTGGTACAACAGGCTGGCCAGTGCACTGGAAGGGATTGGATTCCGTGCGAGTGCATGCGACGAGAGCCTATTCCTGATGGGAGAGGGGGAGTCACTTGTGCTTCTGCTGGTGTACGTGGATGACATCCTGCTCTTCAGCAGCAGTGACAAGGAGATCGATGGGGTGCAGCGGAAGCTCACAGAGCAGTTCAAGTGCAAGTCACTTAGAGAGGCAAGGTACTACCTGGGAATGCATATTGAGCGGGATACTGAACGTGGCTGGCTCAAACTGCATCAGGGACAGTACATCAACACCTTGGCTGAGAAGTACTCTCTGCAGGAAGAACGGGAAGTGGTCACACCTTTGCCTTCCGAGTTCAAACTCATAAAGGCAGCTGAAGGAGAAGGAGTTGAGAGTGAAGACCAGAGGCAATTCCAATCCATGGTCGGGAACCTACTCTACGCTGCTGTGCATACTCGGCCTGACATCAGCTTTGCTGTGGGACAGCTGGCTCGAGTAGTGCAAAATCCAACAGAAGAGCAGTGTGGTGCAGCGGAGAGAGTGGTGCGCTACCTCAAGTCATACCCTACAGTGGGAGTACAGTATTCAGCCTCTGCTCAACTCAGTCAAAAAGATTGAAGTCCTCAAAGAGAAGGGGGAGCAGCTCGGAGAAGGAAAGGTGTTCCTTTCCTGTTTTGCTGATGCCACGTGGGCTTCTGAGCATGAGGATTCATCATCAGTTGGTGGATACATCTGCATGGTGGGAGGTGGGCCTGTAAGTTGGAGGTCCAAGAAGCAGTCTGAGACGGCACTATCTTCAGTGGAATCTGAGTACATGGCGATGTTTCATGCGGCAAAAGAAATCATCTGGCTAAGGAGGCTCTTGAAGGAGATCGGCCATGAACAGACTTGTGCGACACCTCTGTTCAGTGATAGCAAGGGAGCCATTGCCATGGCACGCAATGCAGTTCTTCATGGGTTGAACAAGCACATGAGGATCAGTGGCATTGGCTGCGGAAGGAGGTGAAGCTTGGGACACTGGATCCGATCTACGTGAAAACTCAGCAACAGCCAGCCGACTTCCTTACCAAGCGGCTAGCTGAAGAGCCACACTGGCGCTGTGCGAGGATGGCGGGAATGTCCTTGAACTAGAGACGGCGAAACAAGCCGACAGTCTGAGGGGGAGTGTGTTGGTGCATATTCATTTGCACGTCATCCTGTCGTCTGTTCGCATCATTTCGTTTGCATGTGTTTTGTGTGCTACGTTGTTTGTATGGTTTGTTGGGTTTGCATGTCTTTGCATGTTCATCTTGTGCTTGTGCAGATGTGCTTGGATTGTGCATGACATCGAGCACATTCCAACGAGCCAAGAATTGTTGGAATCGGAGCACATATGAAGAAGTTACGAAGAAATGTTTGATGGATTTGTTACAACTCATTGGAAGTCCTTGTCAGCTGCTACACCAAAGTTGGAGAGCCCTATAACGAGGAGGGACCAGCATGTGTGGGACTTTTGTCCCCACCTTGCAGCTGCAGCATTTGGGGTTTGGAGGCCAACCTGGCACAGTGTGAAATTTGTCTTGCCAGGCTGGCTGAACCTGAGGATGGGGAGTCAAAACTTTGACTCTTGTCATGTTCTTGACCATGGGCCTCCAGGGTCCTTCCCTTTCATCCTTCACTTCCTACCCCACCTTCCAACTGTGCTTCAATGCCTTTTCTATCATGCCTCTGATCTTGTAAGCTTCAATCATAGTGACTCTGAGGACTGTCAACTTCTCCTAGGGCAGATTACCCCCAGTGCGCCAAACGCCATAGCTCACTCGTTTAGCTACGGAATCGAGTGATTCAACTTTCAGTGGAAAGCTGACACTGCCAGCTACAACATATCCGATTTTCAGATCGTTTCACCGATTGGAGTTTTTGATATAGCTATTCGAAGGTCGCGAGTTTTCTGGGCGTCATAACGAAGTGCTGCAGAAATTTCCAAGGAGCCATTGAATCATCTGCTTATAGCCTTCTCTAACCAACAAGTGGTATCAGAGCTATTATCAGCATTTGGACCTAAAATACGATGGGAGATAAAGAGGACTCTGGTGGAGGTGATACTTCAGTCCAAGGAGGCAGCTCAACCCAAGATTCTGGCATTGCAGCGCAAAGGGGAGCGCGTACAAGCCAGGGGTCACTGCTTAAGGAGGTGCTGAAGAACTTCACCATTGAGAAGTTCTCTGGAGATGGCTATGATGATTGGGCATGGAAGATGCAGCTCTACTTTCGACAAATTGGCCTCTTGAAGCTCATGATTGGAACGGAGCCAAGGCCAAAGGAAATGGCAGAGCAAGCGGACTGGGATGAACGTTCATCTGCTGGGTACTATCTACTGTCACAAAGCTTGGAGCTGAACCAGAGGCATCACATCATGCATCTGCTACCGGAAATTGATTGTGGGCCCAAGGCATGGGCAGTGCTCAAGGACCTGCACGCTCCGACATCGGTTGCCGCTTCTCTCATGCTGGATCGGGAGCTGTCCATGCTGCGGTTGAGCGAGAATGAAGCTGTGCAGCCCGTACTGGACAAGATGAGGGAACTCTACGCGAAATTGGCGATTGCAGGCATCACGTACCCAGAGCAGACAAAGTGTCTCAAGATGCTCAGCCTGCTGCCGGAGTCTTGGCTGCAATTTATAAGCGGACTCAGCTTGCCACAAAACCAAAGTCAATGGACATTGGAGTGGATTCGCACCAAGATTCTGGAAGAAGATTTTCGTCGCTATACACTGCGCGGAGGTGATGACAGCACCAGCGGCTATGCCATGCAAGGGACATGGAGGGATCGAGGGCGTGGCAATCGCGGTCGCTCTTACCACAGCCAAGGTGGTCGCGGGACTTGGAACCAGCGGGGGCGTGGTGGCGCTGGTGCAAGAGGAAGAGGTGGTCACTCCAACAATGACAACAGTGAACCACGCTTGAGGGGAGAGTGCTGGTATTGCAAGGAAGAAGGGCATCCATGGTTTCGCTGCCCTACCAAGCCCGACTGGTGGACCCCTTGGAACCAATCGGAGAAGGGGAATGGAGGAAAACAACCACATGGAGGTGCCAACATGGTAGCTGATCCTGCTGAAGAAACCTCCAAGGATGACAGAGGAATGCGAAATGAGGAGAGGAATGCTGGACAGTTCTACCATGTGTGTGACAAAGATGACAGTGGCACAGCTGTTGCAAGGGCTGGAGAGGAATTGCACCCGCTTGACATGTGGGTCATGGACTCTGGTGCTGCATGGACAATGACACCACGCAAGGACTTGCTGGATGCTGTGCGAGCGCCTCCAATCTCTGAAGTGCGCTCAGCATCCGGACATGCAGTGAAGGTCGCTGGAGTTGGTCGAGCTGCATTCAGAGCACCTGATGGTGGACTGGTTGTGCTGAAGGATGTGTTACTCGTACCGGGGCTGAAGGCCAACCTGATATCGCTGCGCAAGCTAGGCCAGGCCGGAGTCAGCACCACCACCAATGGATCCAAAACATTCAAGGGGCTGCGAGGAGATCGTGTGTTATGGGATTTACACGAAAGCAGAGATGTCTTCAGATCCATGTGGCAGATCCCTGCACTGATATGGGAATCAACAAAGAAGGAGTTGGGAGAAGTAAAGGCGGGTTCTGGAGTCCAGGGGGAGTGTAATGCAGTTAGTGCTGCAGGAGTGACGGTTTCTGCAAGGTCGGGGGAGACTGATTGGGAAACCGCACACAGGCGTCTAGGGCATGTGGCTATGCCATTGCTGCAGCAACTGCATAAGGAAGAAGCAGTAAAGGGGCTCAAGCTTTCTGGGCAACCAAATGCTACCAAGTGCGAGACGTGTCTGCTGAGCAAGTTCACACGGTTCCCCTTTCACGGCGTAGCTGGGAAAAGCAAGGCAGCACTGGAACTGGTGCACATGGACCTCGTAGGACCTTTTCCAGTCCGAGGAAGTAAGGGGGAAAGGTACTTCCTGACAATAGTTGATGACTGGAGTCGGCTGATGTGGGCATACCCGTTGAAGCAGAAGGATCATGCTGCCTCAACAATACGAGATGATTGGCTGCCGTTCGTCGAGCGACAATCTGGGCACCCATGCAAGAGCATCAGAACCGACCGAGGTGGAGAGTTTCTAGGAGGAGATCTGACTGCGTGGCTCAAGAAACAAGGCATTGAGCATCAGCTAACGACGTCCTATACCCCTCAGTCAAATGGCGTTGCTGAGAGGGCTAATAGGACCATCCTGGAAACTGCGCGAGCGCTGCTGATCGAATCAGGGCTGGGGAACTCCATGTGGCCTCATGCGGTGAGGCATGCTACAGTGGCAAGGAACCGCGTACTCACAAAGGTGGCTGATGATATGTGGGTGCCGCTGGAGAGGTGGCTTGGAAAGAAGCCTCCAGTGGACATGCTTCGAGTGTTCGGATGCATGGCAGTGGCGCATGTCCCTAAACCGTACAGGACAAAGCTTGGAGCATCTGCACTTTGGTGTGTGCACCTTGGGCTTGCGGCAGAGAGCAAGGGGTGGCTACTCTGGGAGCCCTCAAAGAATGTGCTGTTTGATAGTCGGGATGTCAAATTTGTGGAGAACATCATGTATGGCAAGTGGGAGAAGCAGCCGGAGGCAAGGGTCACCCAGCAGCTGGAAGAGATCACTATGCACTTCGATCTGTCCGAACCTGAGGACAGCGAAGTCACTGCGCCAACGGCAAGCGGTACTGATGAAGGAAGCAATGAGGATATTGCAGCTGATGCTGAAGTCAAGGATCCGGAGCAGCAGCAGCAAGAGGCTTCCAAAACACCAAGTCTGTCAAAGCGAAGGAAACAGATTGGTGGGGGGACAAAGGATTGGGTGAAGGTGAAAGAATGGGTAAATCCAACCATCTACCCTGCACGTACCAGAATGGCAATGAGAAAGCTGTTGAGCTCCACAAGTGGAGGAGCCACAACTGAGCAGCAGGAACAGGCTCAAGGCGAAGATGCAGTGCTGTTCTTGGGTGATGACCAAGAGTCAGATGACAAGGAGCCTGCATACTGCTTTTACGCACCAATACAACCTCCGAGCATGGATCATGCGCTAGCCGGGCCTCAACGGGGGAAGTGGCTCGTTTCAAGAGATGCAGAGTACAACAGCAAGATGGAGAATCACACATGGGACCTGGTGTACTTGCCAAATGGGAAGAAGGCAATACAGTGCAAGTGGCTGGCAAAAATCAAGACGGATGAGAAAGGAGAGCCATCAGTTTACAAGAGCAGGCTGGTGGCAAAGGGGTTTCAGCAGAAAGCGAAGGAAGATTACAAAGAAGTGTTTGCCCCAACTGCTAAGTCTCCAACGCTACGTGTGCTGCTGGCGGTAGCTGCTGTGCGCAAATGGAAGGTGAAGCAGATGGACATCGTAACCGCTTTTCTGTATGGCATTGTGGAAGAGGAGGTATACATGGTTCAACCACCTGGCTATGAGGATGGAACCGGTCGTGTCTGCAAACTTAACAAGGCCATCTATGGCTTGAAGCAGGCCCCGAGATGCTGGTACAACAGGCTGGCCAGTGCACTGGAAGGGATTGGATTCCGTGCGAGTGCATGCGACGAGAGCCTATTCCTGATGAGCGAGGGGGAGTCGCTTGTGCTTCTGCTGGTGTACGTGGATGACATCCTGCTCTTCAGCAGCAGTGACAAGGAGATCGATGGGGTGCAGCGGAAGCTCACAGAGCAGTTCAAGTGCAAGTCACTTAGAGAGGCAAGGTACTACCTGGGAATGCATATTGAGCGGGATACTGAACGTGGCTGGCTCAAACTGCATCAGGGACAGTACATCAACACCTTGGCTGAGAAGTACTCTCTGCAGGAAGAACGGGAAGTGGTCACACCTTTGCCTTCCGAGTTCAAACTCATAAAGGCAGCTGAAGGAGAAGGAGTTGAGAGTGAAGACCAGAGGCAATTCCAATCCATGGTCGGGAACCTACTCTACGCTGCTGTGCATACTCGGCCTGACATCAGCTTTGCTGTGGGACAGCTGGCTCGAGTAGTGCAAAATCCAACAGAAGAGCAGTGTGGTGCAGCGAAGAGAGTGGTGCGCTACCTCAAGTCATACCCTACAGTGGGAGTACAGTATTCAGCCTCTGCTCAACTCAGTCAAAAAAGAATTGAAGTCCTCAAAGAGAAGGGGAGCAGCTCGGAGAAGGAAAGGTGTTCCTTTCCTGTTTTGCTGATGCCACGTGGGCTTCTGAGCATGAGGATTCATCATCAGTTGGTGGATACATCTGCATGGTGGGAGGTGGGCCTGTAAGTTGGAGGTCCAAGAAGCAGTCTGAGACGGCACTATCTTCAGTGGAATCTGAGTACATGGCGATGTTTCATGCGGCAAAAGAAATCATCTGGCTAAGGAGGCTCTTGAAGGAGATCGGCCATGAACAGACTTGTGCGACACCTCTGTTCAGTGATAGCAAGGGAGCCATTGCCATGGCACGCAATGCAGTTCTTCATGGGTTGAACAAGCACATGAGGATCATGTGGCATTGGCTGCGGAAGGAGGTGAAGCTTGGGACACTGGATCCGATCTACGTGAAAACTCAGCAACAGCCAGCCGACTTCCTTACCAAGCGGCTAGCTGAAGAGCCACACTGGCGCTGTGCGAGGATGGCGGGAATGTCCTTGAACTAGAGACGGCGAAACAAGCCGACAGTCTGAGGGGGAGTGTGTTGGTGCATATTCGTTTGCACGTCATCCTGTCGTCTGTTCGCATCATTTCGTTGCATGTGTTTTGTGTGCTACGTTGTTTGTATGGTTTGTTGGGTTTGCATGTCTTTGCATGTTCATCTTGTGCTTGTGCAGATGTGCTTGGATTGTGCATGACATCGAGCACATTCCAACGAGCCAAGAATTGTTGGAATCGGAGCACATATGAAGAAGTTACGAAGAAATGTTTGATGGATTTGTTACAACTCATTGGAAGTCCTTGTCAGCTGCTACACCAAAGCTGGAGAGCCCTATAACGAGGAGGGACCAGCATGTGTGGGACTTTTGTCCCCACCTTGCAGCTGCAGCATTTGGGGTTTGGAGGCCAACCTGGCACAGTGTGAAATTTGTCTTGCCAGGCTGGCTGAACCTGAGGATGGGGAGTCAAAACTTTGACTCTTGTCATGTTCTTGACCATGGGCCTCCAGGGTCCTTCCCTTTCATCCTTCACTTCCTACCCCACCTTCCAACTATGCTTCAATGCCTTTTCCATCATGTCTCTGAACTTGTAAGCTTCAATCATAGTGACTCTGAGGACTGTCAACTTCTCCTAGGGCAGATTACCCCCCAGTGCGCCAAACGCCATAGCTCACTCGTTTAGCTACGGAATCGAGTGATTCAACTTTCAGTGGAAAGCTGACACTGCCAGCTACAACATATCCGATTTTCAGATCGTTTCACCGATTGGAGTTTTTGATATAGCTATTCGAAGGTCGCGAGTTTTCTGGGCGTCATAACGAAGTGCTGCAGAAATTTCCAAGGAGCCATTGAATCATCTGCTTATAGCCTTCTCTAACCAACAACATGCAGTGAAGGTCGCTGGAGTTGGTCGAGCTGCATTCAGAGCACCTGATGGTGGACTGGTTGTGCTGAAGGACGTGTTACTCGTACCGGGGCTGAAGGCCAATCTGATATCGCTGCGCAAGCTAGGCCAGGCCGGAGTCAGCACCACCACCAATGGATCCAAAACATTCAAGGGGCTGCGAGGAGATCGTGTGTTATGGGATTTACACGAAAGCAGAGATGTCTTCAGATCCATGTGGCAGATCCCTGCACTGATATGGGAATCAACAAAGAAGGAGTTGGTAGAAGTAAAGGCGGGTTCTGGAGTCCAGGGGGAGTGTAATGCAGTTAGTGCTGCAGGAGTGACGGTTTCTGCAAGGTCGGGGGAGACTGATTGGGAAACCGCACACAGGCGTCTAGGGCATGTGGCTATGCCATTGCTGCAGCAACTGCATAAGGAAGAAGCAGTAAAGGGGCTCAAGCTTTCTGGGCAACCAAATGATACCAAGTGCGAGACATGTCTGCTGAGCAAGTTCACACGGTTCCCCTTTCACGGCGTAGCTGGGAAAAGCAAGGCAGCACTGGAACTGGTGCATATGGACCTCGTAGGACCTTTTCCATTCCGAGGAAGTAAGGGGGAAAGGTACTTCCTGACAATAGTTGATGACTGGAGTCGGCTGATGTGGGCATACCCGTTGAAGCAGAAGGATCATGCTGCCTCAACAATACGAGATGATTGGCTGCCGTTCGTCGAGCGACAATCTGGGCACCCATGCAAGAGCATCAGAACCGACCGAGGTGGAGAGTTTCTAGGAGGAGATCTGACTGCGTGGCTCAAGAAACAAGGCATTGAGCATCAGCTAACGACGTCCTATACCCCTCAGTCAAATGGCGTTGCTGAGAGGGCTAATAGGACCATCCTGGAAACAGCGCGAGCGCTGCTGATCGAATCAGGGCTGGGGAACTCCATGTGGCCTCATGCGGTGAGGCATGCTACAGTGGCAAGGAACCGCGTACTCACAAAGGTGGCTGATGATATGTGGGTGCCGCTGGAGAGGTGGCTTGGAAAGAAGCCTCCAGTGGACATGCTTCGAGTGTTCGGATGCATGGCAGTGGCGCATGTCCCTAAACCGTACAGGACAAAGCTTGGAGCATCTGCACTGTGGTGTGTGCACCTTGGGCTTGCGGCAGAGAGCAAGGGGTGGCTACTCTGGGAGCCCTCAAAGAATGTGCTGTTTGACAGTCGGGATGTCAAATTTGTGGAGAACATCATGTATGGCAAGTGGGAGAAGCAGCCGGAGGCAAGGGTCACCCAGCAGCTGGAAGAGATCACTATGCACTTCGATCTGTCCGAACCTGCGGACAGCGAAGTCACTGCGCCAACGGCAAGCGGTACTGATGAAGGAAGCAATGAGGATATTGCAGCTGATGCTGAAGTCAATGATCCGGAGCAGCAGCAGCAAGAGGCTTCCAAAACACCAAGTCTGCCAAAGCGAAGGAAACAGATTGGTGGGGGACAAAGGATTGGGTGAAGGTAAAAGAATGGGTAAATCCAACCATCTACCCTGCACGTACCAGAATGGCAACGAGAAAGCTGTTGAGCTCCACAAGTGGAGGAGCCACAACTGAGCAGCAAGAACAGGCTCAAGGCGAAGATGCAGTGCTGTTCTTGGGTGATGACCAAGAGTCAGATGACGAGGAGCCTGCATACTGCTTTTACGCACCAATACAACCTCCGAGCATGGATCATGCGCTAGCCGGGCCTCAACGGGGGAAGTGGCTCGTTTCAAGAGATGCAGAGTACAACAGCCAGATGGAGAATCACACATGGGACCTGGTGTACTTGCCAAATGGGAAGAAGGCAATACAGTGCAAGTGGCTGGCAAAAATCAAGACGGATGAGAAAGGAGAGCCATCAGTTTACAAGAGCAGGCTGGTGGCAAAGGGGTTTCAGCAGAAAGAGAAGGAAGATTACAAAGAAGTGTTTGCCCCAACTGCTAAGTCTCCAACGCTATGTGTGCTGCTGGCGGTAGCTGCTGTGTGCAAATGGAAGGTGAAGCAGATGGACATCGTAACCGCTTTTCTGTACGGCATTGTGGAAGAGGAGGTGTACATGGTTCAACCACCTGGCTATGAGGATGGAACCGGTCGTGTCTGCAAACTTAACAAGGCCATCTATGGCTTGAAGCAGGCCCCGAGATGCTGGTACAACAGGCTGGCCAGTGCACTGGAAGGGATTGGATTCCGTGCGAGTGCATGCGACGAGAGCCTGTTCCTGATGGGAGAGGGGGAGTCACTTGTGCTTCTGCTGGTGTACGTGGATGACATCCTGCTCTTCAGCAGCAGTGACAAGGAGATCGATGGGGTGCAGCGGAAGCTCACAGAGCAGTTCAAGTGCAAGTCACTTGGAGAGGCAAGGTACTACCTGGGAATGCACATTGAGCGGGATACTGAACGTGGCTGGCTCAAACTGCATCAGGGACAGTACATCAACACCTTGGCTGAGAAGTACTCTCTGCAGGAAGAACGGGAAGTGGTCACACCTTTGCCTTCCGAGTTCAAACTCATAAAGGCAGCTGAAGGAGAAGGAGTTGAGAGTGAAGACCAGAGGCAATTCCAATCCATGGTCGGGAGCCTACTCTACGCTGCTGTGCATACTCGGCCTGACATCAGCTTTGCTGTGGGACAGCTGGCTCGAGTAGTGCAAAATCCAACAGAAGAGCAGTGTGGTGCAGCGGAGAGAGTGGTGCGCTACCTCAAGTCATACCCTACAGTGGGAGTACAGTATTCAGCCTCTGCTCAACTCAGTCAAAAAGGAATTGAAGTCGTCAAAGAGAAGGGGGAGCAGCTCGGAGAAGGAAAGGTGTTCCTTTCCTGTTTTGCTGATGCCACGTGGGCTTCTGAGCATGAGGATTCATCATCAGTTGGTGGATACATCTGCATGGTGGGAGGTGGGCCTGTAAGTTGGAGGTCCAAGAAGCAGTCTGAGACGGCACTATCTTCAGTGGAATCTGAGTACATGGCGATGTTTCATGCGGCAAAAGAAATCATCTGGCTAAGGAGGCTCTTGAAGGAGATCGGCCATGAACAGACTTGTGCGACACCTCTGTTCAGTGATAGCAAGGGAGCCATTGCCATGGCACGCAATGCAGTTCTTCATGGGTTGAACAAGCACATGAGGATCAAGTGGCATTGGCTGCGGAAGGAGGTGAAGCTTGGGACACTGGATCCGATCTACGTGAAAACTCAGCAACAGCCAGCCGACTTCCTTACCAAGCGGCTAGCTGAAGAGCCACACTGGCGCTGTGCGAGGATGGCGGGAATGTCCTTGAACTAGAGACGGCGAAACAAGCCGACAGTCTGAGGGGGAGTGTGTTGGTGCATATTCATTTGCACGTCATCCTGTCGTCTGTTCGCATCATTTCGTTTGCATGTGTTTTGTGTGCTACGTTGTTTGTATGGTTTGTTGGGTTTGCATGTCTTTGCATGTTCATCTTGTGCTTGTGCAGATGTGCTTGGATTGTGCATGACATCGAGCACATTCCAACGAGCCAAGAATTGTTGGAATCGGAGCACATATGAAGAAGTTACGAAGAAATGTTTGATGGATTTGTTACAACTCATTGGAAGTCCTTGTCAGCTGCTACACCAAAGTTGGAGAGCCCTATAACGAGGAGGGACCAGCATGTGTGGGACTTTTGTCCCCACCTTGCAGCTGCAGCATTTGGGGTTTGGAGGCCAACCTGGCACAGTGTGAATTTTGTCTTGCCAGGCTGGCTGAACCTGAGGATGGGGAGTCAAAACTTTGACTCTTGTCATGTTCTTGACCATGGGCCTCCAGGGTCCTTCCCTTTCATCCTTCCCTTCCTACCCCACCTTCCAACTGTGCTTCAATGCCTTTTCTATCATGCCTCTGATCTTGTAAGCTTCAATCATAGTGACTCTGAGGACTGTCAACTTCTCCTAGGGCAGATTACCCCCCAGTGCGCCAAACGCCATAGCTCGCTCGTTAAGCTACGGAATCGAGTGATTCAACTTTCAGTGGAAAGCTGACGCTGCCAGCGACAACATATCCGATTTTCAGATCGTTTCACCGATTGGAGTTTTGGATATAGCTATTCGAAGGTTGCAAGTTTTCTGGGCGTCATAACGAAGTGCTGCAGAAATTTCCAAGGAGCCATTGAATCATCTGCTTATAGCCTTCTCTGACCAACACTGGAGGCAGAGAAGACGCCCAAGCACAAGGTCAAAACCAAGATCAACCCATTGCTCTTGTGCAACCTAGTCTCGGCCCCTCTAGGGATGAGCCTAGAGTGTTTGGCCTTGACAAGTTCAACGGTGACAACTTTGCTGAGTGGTCCTTCAAGATGGAGAACATCTTTGACCACTATGATTTGCTGGAGGTGATGGAAGGAACGGAGAAGCGCCCCGAGAACGACCTGGAGAAGAGCCCGTGGGTGCGGAAGAGCGCACTAGGCTATCTTCAACTGGGGCAAGCGTTGGGGAGCAGCCAAATCCGCCACATCAAGCCTTTTCAGCATGAACCAGCAAAGGGACCAAAGGCATGGGCTGCTCTCAAGGGTGTACACGCTCCTGCAACAGCGGTCGTGGCTGTGGTCTTGGAGCGGCAAATGGCGGCACTTAGAATTGACGAAGACGAACAAGTGGAGGAAGGAGTGCAGAAATTCTTCGACTTGTTGACACGGCTCGAAGAAGCTGAGCTGAACTACAGTGACCTTCAAAAGAAGACCAAGCTGCTGGCCTTACTTCCAGACTCATGGTCCTCGCTCATCATCAACCAAAATCGAGATCTGCCCCGCCTCTCGCTCGAAGATGTGAAGCGGGAAAACTTGCAAGAAGATTTCTGCCGTCGTGAATTGGCGGGTCCCGATGGTGCCGGAGTTGCAAGCATGGGCCGTGGGCACGGCCATGGAAGGGGCAGAGGGCGAGGAGGTAGATTTGGAAGCAGCTACTTCAATGGAGGCCGTGGTAATGGAGGATATGGCAGCAACAACAACAACAATGGCTACGGGCGTGGGCGCGGTCGATTTGATGGCGAATGCCACTTTTGCCACAAGACCGGCCACATGTGGAGAGATTGCTTCAAACTGCCTAATGGTTGGACCCCTTCTCAAGGCCAAGAGGGCAGAGGAGCAAGGGGAGGAAGAGGCAGAGGTCATGGAGGCCGTGGTGGTCGTGGAAGCGAACCGGTAAGCATGAAAGGTGGAGACTACGAGACGGGCCCGAGTGAAGATCGATACCCGGGCCAATTCTTCTTTGTCTCCACGCAAGCGGCAGCAGCAGCGGGAGCTGTGGAAGGCTTTGAGGAGCCAGCTACTATGGGAGATGTCACCCTTAACTCTCTGGAATTTTGGGTGATCGACAGTTGCGCCACTTATAGCATGACACCTCGTGCGGGCTTGCTCACCGAGCTCGAACCGTTGCCGGTCAAGCATGTTACATCGGCTTTGGGGCAGCGAGCAGAGGTGAAATGCATGGGCAAGGCCATGTTCAAGGGTGCTGATGGGAATATTTTGGGCCTCAAGAACGTGCTTTGGGTGCCCAACCTAGCAGCCAGCCTGATTTCCGTGCGGCGTTTGCAAAAGGCCGGCATGGACACATCTTCCAAGGGATCCAAAACCTATACCGCGAGGCTTGGTGAGCGGAAGCTTTGGGACCTTCATAAGGATAGGGACATCTACAATGAGATGTTGCAAATCCCAGTGGTCCCTATGCCTAAGGGGAGGCAAGTGGCAGCAAGCGTCAGCACCAAGAGTGAAGCGGTTGGTGGCGGTGATCACGGAAAGCAAAGTGACACCAAGAGTGACTCAAAGGAATGCAATCTTGGAGAGACCAGCAAGGCGTGTGAACCCAAGGAGAATGGTGCAGCAGCCAAATGTGGTGGAAATGAGGAGGAGAAGCCTAAGATCAGCAAAGCAGAAGCGGCAAAGGAGAAAGGAGAGAGCTTGTGGGGCACAATTGCGAGTGCCGCTTTCTCCAACCCGACTTCCGCTACGGGAGAGTGTGATTGGCTGACCTTGCATCGGCGAATGGGGCATGTGGCGTTGCCCATTTTGCAGCAGATTGTTAAGCAAGAGATGGTCAGTGGGATATGTATCAAGGGGGAGCCCAATGAGGTGCTTGGCTGTCTAACATGCACGCAAGCCAAGTTCACCTGCTATCCGTTCTATAGCTTGGAGACAACGGCGAAGGCACCACTCGATGAGGTGGTGATGGATGTGGTGGGCCCCTCGAAGCTTGGAGCTGCTGGAGCAGAGTACTTCCTCACCATTGTGGACGTCTACACTCGCATGACATGGGTGTATATGCTGCCCAAGAAGAGTGACGTAGCTGAAACGGTGAAGACCGATTGGTTGCCGATGGTGGAGCGGCAACAAGACCGGCTTGTGAAGGCGATTCGCACTGACCGTGAGGGAGAGTTCATGAGCAAGGACTTCTCAACTTGGCTGAAGAAGCAAGGCATAAGACACTCTCTTATCATGCCCTACTCTCCTGCAATGAACGGCATCGCCGAGCGTGCGAATCGGACACTCACGGAGACGGCTCGGGGACTTCTCATTGAAGCCGGTCTTCCCAATTACTTTTGGCCGGATGCGGTGCGGCATGCTTGTGTGGCCATGAACAGAGCCTTGAATCATGTGGGAGAAGACAAATTGGTGCCCTATGTGGAGTGGATTGGAAGGAAGCCAAAGGTGGATATGCTTCGGGTGTTCAGGTGCATGTGCATGGCACATGTGCCTAAGAAACTTCGGCACAACAAGCTTGATACCAAGGCAGCATGGGACGTGCACCTGGGCATGGCTCAAAACAGCAAGGGATGGCTTCTTTGGGACCCATTTACCAAGAAGTTCTCGGTGATCAGAGATTGCAACTTCATGGAGAACTTACCGTACAAGGAGTGGAAGGCGGAGAACCAAGGAAGATGTTAGAAATAGACTGCAAATACCACTTTTGTATTTGTACTTATATATCCTAGTTTAGGTTGTGAATGTTCTAGTGGGTTGGGGTGTACTCCCAAATCCCAACCTCACCCATTTGTGATCCCCCCAATCTCCAATTGCCCAATTGGAGATTCCGGAGATCCCAATGGGGATTCCCTCCAATTCCCCCTTCATCCATTCTCTCTCACCTTGCCATGTACTTATAGAGCCTTGGGCTCCTTACCTAATCAATCATTTTCAACTCTATTTCTTACATGGTATCAGAGCGACCTATCCGCACATGCGGATCAAGGTCCTAATCTCAACGTGCCTGCGCTACGAGCACTTCATCGTCCCGACATTCGTTTCGAGTCGTCGGAATTTCGACATGCTCCACTCTGCAGTTGCGCCTCTCATCGTCGACTGCCTTCGCGCTCGACCTCGTTGAATTTCTCATCTCTGAAGCTATCACGCTTCTCATCGTCGATATCCTCCTCGGTTCTCCTTGGTCGAATCTCAATTTCGACCATCTCTTAAAACTCGTTCTCGAGTTTCCCCTCAGACCCCGCCAGGATAGGCGAACTCCCCTCGCGAAATCGCCTCCACGAACGTCTCGCGTCAAATCAAGAGCAGGTACACAGGTTGAAGCGGAGGGGAGCTGGTTGCGGAGCTGGTTGCGGAGCTGGTTGCGGAGCTGGTTGCGGAGCTGGTTGCGGAGCTGGTTGCGGAGCTGGTTGCGGAGCTGTGTAGCTGCGGGACAGGGCCTGGGGGTGTGTGGGGGGGTGTGTGGGTCCGGGGTTAGACATAGGCTCAGATTCAGTTTCAAGTCGGCGTTTTAACGAATTTTCGCCGACGCCATTTCCTACTTAGCGGCATTTTGATACAGCCGTCAGAGTGATTTTCAGCAATTCTCGTCGACCAATTTCCAGAAGTGCCGCGCTGCACACCGACAATGGCTTACTCAACCACTTCACTCGCCAACCCGATCCCGCTCCTTCGTCTCGAGCCGGACGGCACATGCTCCAACTACAAGGCTTGGCGCTATGGTGTCGACAAGCACCTCCTCAGTCGCAAGGTGAAGGGGCTCGAGCTCACCGACGTCCTTCTCAACATCGGTGATCGCAAAGAGCTTCCTAAACCCGAGAGGTCCGCCGATCCAGCTAATGCCGCCGCTGAAGCAGTTTATGCTGCTGCACTGCTCAAGTACAAGAATTGGGAGAAGGCCGATGGTGCGGTCATTAGTGTCTTCATGGGCACCACTCCTCCCGAACTCGTCGAAACCTACCACAACTACCCGTCTGCCAACGCCATTTGGCTCTACCTCGAGGATCGCTTCCTGAACAAGACTGCAGTGGGAGTTGCTATACTCATCCCCAGCATGTTCCAAGTGCGGCTTGAGGACTCGCCAGGCATGGCGGACTATGTCACCAAGGTGCAGTCCATTCATGGTGAACTCAAACAGTTGGGGATAGTCTTCCCCGAGCAAGCCCCTGTAGCCGCTCTCCTAGTCGGCCTCACTCCGGCATACGAAGTCACACGCAAGATGCTCTTGGGCCTTGCTCCTGCAGACCTCACATTTCCCAAGGTCTCATCCGCGCTCCTTTCTGCCGAAAAGGACAACAGCGCTCAAGCCAAGGCCAATGCAATCCGCGCTCCCGTGCCTCAAGCCTATGCCGCTTCGGTGCCATTCCAGCGCAACCGCTTCCCCCCGTGTCCCTACGTCATCAAGCGCGGCCCTCGTGCTGGCCAGGTGTGTGGCGGCACCAACCACGCCCTTGCCTCCTGCTTTAAGAAGAAGGATGACGATTGGTATGCCGTCAATGGGACCGCCTCGAAGCCGCCAAGCTGGATGGTCAATCGTGCTCCTCGCCAAGTCAATCAAGTCGAAGCGCAGGAATCCGTGCAGGCTGCTGTGGCTGCACCTGCTGATGTGCGCCTCAACATGTCGTTCCCTGGCACTGCCATGATTAATGAGACGATTTCGCAGTATCCTGGCTCACAAAGCACCTTAGCCACAATAGAGTTCACCCTCGACAGTGGGGCCACTCACACGGTTCTCAAGGAAGAACACTCCTTCAAGCCATACGAGACTCCAATCCGTCTACTTGGAGCAGACTCCAGTTTCACAACACACGCCAAGGGCTCCTCCACAGTTCCGTGCCCAGCTTTTCCTTCGGGCAGTGTGACCGGCATGTGTGTTCCCACACTACGCCACAATCTCGTGGCCCAACACGAGCTCCAACGGGCAGGCGTCACCACGATCTTCCCAGCACACTCGAATCACTGTGACCTCTTCGACCCTAAGTCCAACAAGCTCCTAGCACGCTTCACACTCAACAGTAGCAAGCTCTACACGCTGCGTTCACCTGCACCTCTCGCCGCCCTCTCCCAAGCGCAAGCTGCCAGCACCACTCCGTGTTCGTGTCGCAGCTTCGCCAACCCAACCATCCTCTACCACCATCGCTTGGGTGACCCCAACTTCCGTACACTTGCCGACATCGCTTCCAAGAAACTTCTTCTTGGCCTCCCGTCGGCGCTTCCTCCACCAACAGACTCACTTGCACCCACCTGCCTGGACTGCACCAAGAGCAAGCTCAGGCAGCAGCCGCACCCTTCCTCCCCATCCATCGCAGCTGCTCCGCTGGACCTAGTGCACATGGATGTCTGGGGCCCAGCTCCAGTCGCATCCCAAGGCGGTCATCGGTACTTTCTTACACTAGTCGATGACCACTCGCGGTATGTTTCTGTGCACCTCCTGCATACCAAGGCGGAGGCACCTGATGTCATCATGGCGTGGGTGCGCCAGG